CACACACACACACACGCGCACACACTCACACACACATGCGCACACACACATGCACACACACACATGCGCACACACACACACACGCACACACGCACACGCACACACACACACACACACACACACACACACTCCCTGCCTCTTACATCTGTCCTCTCAGATGCGTCACCACATGTGTCATCTCAGAAAAAAGTGTTTTCTAGGGGGTTCGGGCTGCGTAGGTGATGTCACAGGGCTTGGGAGGGGGGGGGTAGGCTGACCCACAGATGGCTGTCACACATGTAGATTGCAAGGCGATCACGCACAGCCCCTCAGCGTCATGTGACTCCAGCGGCATCCGCGTCAGCTGACCGTTAGCGGGAACCCTGCGGCACCTGCTGGCCGCCCATGTGACCTCGGTGCTGTAAAGCAGGACCCGGGTCGTTACGGAAGGAGTAAATTGGCTTTAATCACAGCTCTTAAATTCCTTCCTTGTATATTGAAATGCATATTGGGTGGGGGAGCAGAGCCCCGGAGGGCTGGGAAGTGGGCATTCAGGCGCCTCCTGGTGATCCTATGGATGACTCAGGTTAAGTGATAATCTCTGTGTTTTATTTCAGCTTTACTGGAGGAGTCAGGTCCCAGATGAGCCCTCAACTGGATTTTTTACACTCCCTTCCCTTCTATTCACCTTTCTGCCCCCAGCCTGCACTATCGCAAGACTGAGGGTGGGGGGGGGGGAGGGGGTGGGACACAATGAAGAATGACTTCCTGTGAATGGACCCATGCATGGACTTCCTGGATTTCACAAGCTGATCTCTGAACAAAAGCAAACAACTGATCCTGTGTGTTTTGGAGGACTGCTCTGTGTGTACATAAACGCCATATACATATGTATATTTTTTAAGTCTTAGTTCAGAATACTTTATACCTCTTTGAGAGTCGACCGAAAGCTGGATTGACTTGAATACTTGTACCGGCCTTTCCCAGGATGCTTTGCAATTGGGGGTCCGCAGTCCTGGCCTGGGGGCCCGTGTGACTGTCCGCTGGTCTGCCAGCTCCCTTTAACCCGCCGAAAATGTCACTCTGCTGAAAAAAGCCTCGATTAGCTCGGGTAGCCAGTTAATTAGTTCCATCAGGCGCTTAAGGGCTTAGGAAGACAGGAAAGCCTTCTGTGCATCAGCCTGTTGGGTTCTGTGACGGGGGGTGACCCCTGCTTTACATAACCGTAAATGTGCAGCTGGGTTCCAGCATGAGTGTCTCGCGGTGCTTAATGCAGCCGTTCAATGGCATGTGGAGGCTGGATCCCAAGTGACAGTAACTGACAGCAGCCCCTGGCATATTTAAGCACCCGGGACACTGTGGCCAGACACAGGGTAAAAGAACGGTCCTTTGCTATAGTCAGAACGCAGTTAAATCAGGATGAACAAAAAGCATGTTCACTGAGTCTCACTGCGCCACAGGCTCCTCGTCCCCACAGAAAATGGGATTTGGAGAATCCAGGTTAGTCCCATAAGCCTTGGGCTGCATGAGATGACAATAGTGCCACGAGTACTCGGTAATCATGGCGTCAGTCCTGGCTTGGTACGATAGAACTGTGATGATGTCACTTCCTGCAGACATTAGCTGCCTGCTTCTCATCACGTGTGTGACAGAATGAAAGGAATGAGAGCAATGACTGTGTGTTTTCTAAATGTCTAAATTACGGGTTGGAAAAGAATGGTGATCTAAAGGAGAAAACGTCGGACAGGAAAGAAAACATCGAATTTCGTAATGTCCTGTTTGCCCAAGGTACTGGTCGCTTACCAAGGTTGGCAGAGCTGCAGGTATTAATGGTTGTATGTGTAATGGTTAATTTCATGACTGACGGCCTGTGATATGCATCATGCATTCACGCCTCTGGGTGAGGCAGGCCTTCAGCCCTCACGAGCCAGATTAGGTCAAAAGGCCAGTAATTTCCTCTGCTCCTATAGCCCAAAGCAACTGGAAAAGGGTAAGATGAATACAAAGCCATGCTAATCTTTTACGATCCCTTGCACAATACACACCCTCAAATGGCAAATTTTCCACCTTGTTCTTCAGAAGAGCTAACCTTCATTGGACACTTGCAGCATTGTCAACTCTTGCGCATCTGGAACTCAGACTTTCAGACTCAAGCTCAGGCAAGAAATCTTACGTCAAATCTAAATTGTTCCATTATAAACCTAAAATTAGCCACATCAGAAGTGCTGGGGGTAGTTTGCAAACTCTACAGACTATTTACAAGGTAATAAAACTGTTACATATATGTAAATGCGTGTGCAGACTTGTCTGAATAGCTGACGGAAGCTGGCACCCCTGCATATGGAAGACAGTTCAGGTATTTCTCATGCTAAACATGTATTTCTCGAGAATAATGAAAAGGGGAGGTGAATTCCTACTACTGAAATCACTGCCATTTTCTTACACTTAGTTCTATTACCCACATATGAATATTCACCCCCCCCCCCGTCAATTTTATCGGTACAGTCACGATTCCCTCCCACGGATCGTCAAACTGATACCATTTATACTGAACCCAACAGAAGTTTCACGTCCGGCTTTAGAGCTCCCAGAAAATGCTCAGGCTCTCTGTGACGTGGCCTCAAATAAGGTATAAATGGTAGTGTTTGCGGCGCTGTTCACACTGTAAGCAAAACGAAATAAGCGACTGAGAAGCCAACCTGAGAGCATCACATCTTTCACGTGTTACTGACACAATGACTGCATTGTTATTGTCGTGCAAAAAATACAGCGACAAAAACAGAAAATGCGTTTTTAAAGTTTATGCCACCAGCTGTCACGCGATCTGAAATGCACCGGCACTGCTGGTGATACATTAGCGTCCAATGCATTATTGCTTAATTTTTTGTCTCATTTTTGCTGATTACTGCCAGACGACACGTTATTTACTAGCGGGGGTCTTACACCGGAAACTTAATAACGATAGTGTCTTCAAGGTCCTCAGTAAACGGCCGCCTTTGGTTTGGTGGGTATACTGGACATTTACACTTTCTTTGTAATAACTGACAGCATGTCATCTAAAACACGCGATTACAAATTGGAATACAAAAACGATACCAATTTATAATTATTTATGAACACAATACATGAAGTATATTTAAAAAGATAAACGGTAACATCATGCAGTAGATAAACAACACATATAGGTTTGTTCGCGGAGGAGCGTAAGTTAATAAAATGATGAAATAGTGCAGCAATAGAGCACCAGTATTGACACTCGAATACGGAGACTTCGTTCACAAGGCAGCGTTTTTATTTATTATTTTTCATTTCATTGTCTTCATTTCCTTACGTTTATTGTTATTTCATTCCGAGTGTATGCGGTCTGCGTAAACTTGAAAGGGTACGATATCACTAGGTATTTTGTAAATAAAACGTCCGATTTACAGACGACAATCTTACACTTGCCAGCATGACAGCGCGTTTTCCGCAAGCGTGACGGGAAATCGGGCATCGCGACTCATTGTTCACGTTTTGAAACAAGAACAATGCGCGCATGGGTTAGTGACGAGCCACACGTCCGCCGCTTGGGGGCGATCTTTCTACGAACGCCCAGAGAAATATACAGCGTAAATACAATAATAAATAATAGCATACAATTTACTTATCTGTAAAAGTATGCGACACACAAGTAGCTTCTCTACCTCAGTAATACGCCATTTAGATGTATTATCAATTGTGTTTGAAATCCATAAACTATATATAGTATGTATCTTTCGGCCATTAATATAAAAATTTCTTACGTGAATGATTTAATCAACAGTGAGCTATAAGAATGATGCCGGTGACGGTACACGCAAAGCGAAGCTGCGTTTTAATCGCGGCTCCTCCCGCAAAGCTGGGTGGGCGGGGTGTGTACCTTAAACAGATGGGATGCAACTATTGTCCCCAGTCAGGCTGCGATTCCTGCGTGAGGAAAGCGAGGCGGGCGTATGTGTGACACTTTTCCGAGCCGATCCTCTGTAACACCTAAATCCCTTTAGGACGAGACGGCTGGCAAGTTTTAGTACGACGCCTTTGCGAATCGGCCTCCGGGGCTCCCTGTTCCCTACGGCTGTCCTTGGCGTTTGGACGTGGATCTCAAACCCTCCCTACTGACGGATGTCAGCGGCGCTGCTGACGGACGCTGCAGCTTCATTCCACGGCGCTCCGAAAGGCGAAGAGCCGGAGAAACCAGACGTCCACCACAGACAGACATTTTATTTCCAGTCCAGCGGCAATGCCGGGGTTTGATTACAAGTTCCTGGAGAAGCCGAAGCGACGTTTCCAATGTCCTTTGTGCAACAAGGCTATGCGCGAACCCGTGCAAGTTTCCACATGTGGACATAGGTTTTGTGATACGTGCCTACAAGAATTCCTAAGGTAAATGATAGAATCAGATAAGATGACTCGGATGAATCAGATAAATGAATTCGTTTATTTGACAGTTTAAGATGCGTGCCTGTTATGCGTCTTCTGACGTGCAGGCTATTGTCGGACTTTCCATGTCTAGATTTAATGGATTAAATAATTAAATGAAGCATTTAGTCAATGATTTGATGTTTTTTTAATATCGCTAGCCATGTCTTTATCCTTGAAAATAACAAATGTACTTCTGTCAGCGAGGGCATTGTGAAATGTCAAAGGGAGTTCGCACCCTTTCTTATGTGCGTCTGCCTTCTGCTTTACCTGGGGTAGGAGGCGTTGGGTCAGTAAGAGACAAGCAGTCCAAAAAATGTTCCAGTTGCAGTATGGTCATTAATCACTTTAGTGATCCGTCTCACGCGGCTCGCGGGTTTTAATCACGGTTATCAATGCTGCCCTTTCACTTTTATGTCAAGCTGCCCATATGTAAGGGCTAGTTAGGAAGTCCTTTCAGAGGCGCTCCCTTGGGATCCGGCACTGTGGTCTGCGCCCGTGGCTGATATATGTTAATACGGCGCCTTACATGCCATATGGTCATACGTTATGCTTGCATCTATTTAAAATAAATCTATGACAGAAGACTACTCGTAAACCAGCACTCCTTTTTTTGAGAATGCTGTTTTATCCTTTTTTTTTAGTTTAATAGCGTGGTCAACTTGTGTTTCTGTGTTTGCCTTTTATATCTATCCTGTCATTGTTTGAGCAAATGTCAGCTCTTAGTTGGCTTCTTCTGTTGAAATGTCTCCAGCATTTGTTGAAACGTCTGTTGTGGTTTGGCTAAAAAAATTCCTGGGACAAAGACAAAGTTGTTTTTTTCCAGATTTGGATTTTCAGAAATGTTTCATGTGTTGTGTGGACATAAATAATGTTATGCTGACATAAATAATGTACCTGTGAAGGTAAAGTTGCTGATCAATGTTTTGGGAGTGTAATAGACGCGTAATTGGCCCTTTCATATGAGCTGTTCCTGTCGTGTACTGGTGCTGGGCTCGTTAAGTCGTGGGTGTTTCTGTTTGTTTACTTGTACCTCTTCCGTTTAGTGCAAAAATTCACGCAGATAAAGCTCTGTGCTTTCAGTTTTTATAAAACTGCAGGGACACCGTTCGCTGTCCGTGATCAGTCTGTCTCTGAGCTCCTCCTTAATTTTGCGAAGCACTTGGTTGTTCATACTGGCGATGCTGGAGTGCGGTGCCTCGATCAGCTGCTGTAGGCTGCGTGGCAGCTGGAAGCACACATGTAAGCGATTATGCACGGCTGTCGCTGCTGATGGCAGGCGGAGCTGCAGCGTGGACTCGTTTGCGTGTGCGTGTCTGCGTCCATGTGCGCCTGGGCAGAAACAGCCCCGGGATCTGCTTCTGTCTGCCATGTTGGCCCCGGGCGGTCTGTCGGCCCGCTTGAATGCCGTCCAGACAGACGGGATTAGCGCAGTTCCACTGTTGCCCCCATCGCCATCGTCCCGGACCGTACGGTCATTTGTTCGGAAGTAATCTGTGCTACCCCGGTCACTGCGGGGCTTTGCGGACAGGGGGCAAACGTGACTTTCTGTACCCAACCCTCATTAGTTGTGTTTGGTGACTAAACACATTGCTAAAGGGTTTCTCAGGAATTCCGTGGTGTTTATTTTCCATTGTAGCTGCATGCAAACTTTGCTACTGTTTTCTTCCGTGTGGTTTGTCAGTTGTTTTAACAGTGGAGAAGGGATAACACCTAGTCACAAATGTTAGTATAGGCCTAAATAATAACTGATTATCATCACTGTTATTTTATTTTTAATGTATAGTTAAGGTCTCAATCAACCTTCAGATCCTGAACCACACTGAGCAATTCATTTGTATTGATTGCTGTAGATGAACAGAGGGTCCAGAAGGTTCCCTTAAGAATTTCAGCACTTCAGGTTCTTGGTTCAGTGCTGAGTATTCCTGAAGACACCGGCTCCTGGTCCGTGTGTATTTGTGTTTACATGACTGTCGGGTATAAGTGAATGTGTGGGCTGGCTTGGATGTCACTTGTCACCTGGCAGTTGTTACACTGCTCCGGTGACAGAACGACTTGGAACCAACACATGTCAAGTAAGGCCCTGAGTCTTGTTTCCCAGAATGCACAGCTAGTATCTGATGGAAGCAAATGCTCTTTGCCATACTTTCGCACAGCCACCTCCGAGTCTGTTTCTCACTGTCATTGTCACCTATATGCCACTGTCCATGAGAATTGTTAGGATCTGACCCTGCTATCACTGTTTCTGTTATTAATAATAATATGTGTACATTCTCCACTAAGCCTTTGAAATACAGTGTAACTAAAGCCAAATTCGGAGAATGCGACTGGTGACTGTTTACAGAGAGTGATTCGCCCAGACTTGCCGTCCTGCACTGTTTCTGGCACTAACAGTTGCCCCAGGACCCACCCATGCCTGCCTTGTGCAACAGAGTGGCATAGCCCCCAGAGAACTCTCTGGAAGTGTGAATAGAAGGGTACTCCCTGGCTTAATTGCTGGGTGGAAAATGCTTCTTTTAAGGTGGCTATGTTCAGTTTCGTCCCAGCTATTTTTATATAGCGCCCTTCCCTACCATATGAGTCAAGCGGGTGCGAGTTTTTGGTTGCCCCAGGAAAAGTGGGTGATACCTAGACAGGTGTGTAAATGGGGTGTGGCAAACTTGGTGTTGAACTGGGGCCTGCAGAGTGGGCTGATCAGACCGTCTAATCGGGGGGGTAGAAAGCCTCTGTGGTGTGTTCAGAGAGTTAAGGGATTCCCTATGTGTTGAGTGTCCTTAGCAGGTTAATGATGTCACACCAGGTGGGACTTGGCATATTAGCATTGTTGCCGTGTCAAGAGAGGGGAGGGGGGGGGATATGGGCTTTGAGAAGCAGATTATCTGTGGGTTAATTCAAGGGTGCATTCAAGGTGCTTGTGTGGGTTGGGAAAGGGAGGGAGCATCAGTATAAGAAGGCTGGGTTTGCTTAGAACAAGACGAGCATTGAGCACGTTGCGATTTCCAAAGCTGAGCGGAAGCCTGGCGCCCCGAAAGTGTGGGCGACTCCCAGGCCGCGTTTGTAAATATTACAGACGGCTCTCCTGAAAGTTTGGGCTCCTCCGGGCTCCGATTCTTTTGTCTCACAAGAGGCGCTTGTTCTGCCTGTGTGCCTCTTTGTCTACAGCCGGGGGGCACAGCTCGTTGTTGCCCCCCCTCCCTTGTTTCTCTTTGACACCCCAGTCGTAAGTCTAAAGCCTCTTTGTCCCTCTGCAGGCTCCCCAAACCCAGTACCTCCATCAAGACCCTGCACCCCGACACACACACACACACACACACACACTCCTTCCGCCTGGAAATGATAGCTTGCAGCGAGCGTACAATGAGCTTATTGCGACGGAAGGCTGAGTTTAAAGAGGGGAAAGGAAGGTGATTGATGTGGACTCCCGGGGGGGGGGGGGGGGGGGTTAGGGATAAAGTGCTATTGGTCTTTCAGCAGCTGGGGGAGATTGGGGTGAGTGTCAGTTCTCTCCATTAACACCCAATGAATTGACTTCTGTCCATTGTGTTTGCGATTTATTGGGGGGGGGGGCGCAGTGTGGAGCCACTTTGTCTAGTATGATAGTGAAGGCTTATATGAGGAATAAATGGGGTACGGGGGGGGGGCAGTGGTGCCCAGAGCCATGTAGGAGCCAGGCTTGCCCTGCCATATTTGAGGGGGGGTTGCCTCTGAATGGCTCTGTGTGTAGGTCTTACTCACTGCCTCTATTGATCCCTAAGAATCAGAGGGACATCCTGTCACAGGCGCCCCAGCCTCATCGGAGACTTACGGCTGTTTGAGAGAGACAGGCTCAGCACTTTCCCAATAATTCCTTTGGTAACTTTCCAGTTGACAAAATCGCCAGACTCTTTTCAGTCCTCAGCCCACAAAGCGAGTCCTTATGGCCGTCCTCAGTTGGCCTTATTGATGTTTTCACACGTCCGGAGTATTACAGAAGGGCACTGGCACCACTGCGCCAAACCCAGTCCAGTCAGCCAACTCGACTTCACTGGAGGCACAAATGTGGCATGTCGTGTGACTGGCCATGTGCAGCCCAGTTTTTATTTCCAAGTACATGTCAGATAATGGGAGTCAAGGTGGGAGTCAAGGTGGGAGTCAAGGTGGACCTGTGTGGTCTGATGGCCTCTGAAACCTGCACCTTGCTTTCATGGCTTACAAGAACAAGCCTGCTGCAAATGCTGAATCGCAGCCTTTTGTTGTCACACTAGCAGAGTTAGCCTCACCTTTTAATAACTGACAAGGACAAGCAGAGTTTACAGCCAGCCTTGCTGGGCAAGTTTAATGTTTAACGCGATTGTCCTTCCTGTTCATGCAGGTACAGGAGGCCTGAAAGCCTGAGTGCTCCTGTGACAGACTGCCTGGATAGGCTAAGCTCTCGGCTAAAAAGTTGTTTTCAAAGACTCTTATCTCTTCCTGGGAGTTCGGCCATGTTTGGAGTTGTGCCTTTGCTGTTGTGGCTTTGCAGATGTTTGCCCCATCAGAGATAAGTCCAGTGCTCAGTGTTCTTCGGAAAAAAATCATCTAAAAAAATTTATCTTGTTACTATTAGTAGGGTGGGTGCTGACTCTATCCAGTGGCATCTCCTTATCTGTTAGAGGAGGACTTTGAGACAGGAGATGGAAAATGTGAAAGGTGGGATTTAGAAATCAAGTGTAACAAGGCATGTTGAAATGATGGGTGGGAACAGGGTGAAGTTTATCCTCCTGGACTGTGAAGATTTGGAGATTCAAAGAACAGACATGGATGAGAAAAATGAGGATGAGGCTGAGATCCTTTGCCCCATGTGACTACAAGAGGGTAGGTGGGGGGGGGGGGGTTGCTCTAAGGACTGGATGATGTCATCTTAGATGGGTGCCCTGAGGAGAGGGAGGGTGTCCCCCGTTCTCCTGCACGGCTGCCCGTGACCTTTGTTCCCTCTACACATCAGG